GATAATGGGATCCAGGGATGGGATGGGGAATATTATGGGATGTGGGGTATTATGGGATGCGGGGTCGTACTCACGGCTCCATGCTGGTGCAGGGGCCTGGGCTGCGGTGCTGGAGCAGGTGCAGGAGGCGCGCGCCAAGGCCCGGCTCAAGCAGCTCTCGTTCGCCGGTGGGTGCCCCCCCGTCCCCCCCAACCCCTGTGGGTGCCGATGGGTGCCACTGGGTGCATTGACACCAATGGGTGCCATTGACACCAATGGGTGCCGATGGGTGCCATTGGGTGCCATTGACACCAATGGGTGCTGATGGGTGTCTCTGCCACTCATGGGTGCTGAATGGTTGTGGTGGGTGCTGCTGACAGCCATGGGTGCTGATGGGTGCTATTGACACCCATAGATGTTGATGGGTGTAGTTGATAGCCGGGGTTGCTGATGATTGTCGCTGACACCCATGGGTGGATATCAATGGGTGTCAATGGTTACCAATGGGTGTCAGTGGGTGCTGATGGGTGCTGATGGGAGTCAGTGGTTACCACTGGGTGTCAGTGGGTATGAATGGATGTCGGTGATTACCAATGGGTACCAGTGGGTGCTGATGGGAACCGATGGGTGCCGATGGATGCTGATGGATGCCGATGGGTGCCGATGGGTACCAATGGGTGTTGATTGGTGCCGATGGGTACCGATGGGTGTCGATGGGTGCCGCTGGGTGCCAGTAGGTACCGATGGGTGTCGATGGGCGTCAGTGGATGTCAGTGGTTACTGATGGGTGCCGCTGGGTGCCGATGGGTGCCAGTTGGTACTGATGGGTGCCGATGGGTACCGATGCATGTCGATGGGTGCTGCTGGGTGCCAGTCGGTACCAATGGGTGTCAATGGATGTCAGTGGTTACCGATGGGTGCCGATGGGTGCCGCTGGGTGCCAGTCGGTGCCGATGGGTGCCGATGGGTGTCAATGGATGTCAGTGGTTACCGATGGGTGCCGCTGGGTGCCGATGGGTGCCAGTTGGTACTGATGGGTGCCGATGGGTACCGATGCGTGTCGATGGGTGCCGCTGGGTGCCAGTCGGTACCGATGGGTGCCGATGGGTATCAATGGATGTCAGTGGTTACCGATGGGTGCCGATGGGTGCCGCTGGGTGCCAGTCGGTGCCGATGGGTGCCGATGGGTGTCAATGGATGTCAGTGGTTACCGATGGGTGCCGATGGGTGTTGATGGGTGCCAGTCGGTGCCGCTGGGTGCCGCTGGGTGTCGATGGGTGCCGACGGGTGTCCTGGGTGCCGTGCAGGGATGAGCGGGCTGCGGGTGCTGGGCATGCACCACGACGCCGTCGTCTTCCTGCTGGAGCAGCTCCCGGGTGCCGGCTCCTGCTCCCGGTACCGCTTCCGGTACCACCCGCGCCGGGAGCGGGGCCCCCCCCACAGCCCCCCCCACAACCCCTCCGGCTGCGCCCGTGCCGAGCTCTACCTGCGGTGGGTGCCAGCGGGGGTAATGGGTGTCAGTGGGTGTCAATGGGAGTCAGTGGGGGCTATGGGGGTCAATGGGAGTCAGCAGGTGTCAATGGGTATCAGTGGAGGTCAGTGGGTGTCAATGGGGGCTATGGGTATCAATGGGTGTCAATGGGAGTCAATGGGGATCAATGGGTATCAGTGGAGGTCAGTGGGTGTCAATGTGGGCTATGGGTATCAATGGGTGTCAATGAGAGTGAATGGGGATCAATGGGTGCCAATGGGTATCAGTGGGGGTCAGTGGGTGTCAATGTGGGCTATGGGTATCAATGGGAGTCAATGGGGGCTATGGGACTGAGTGGGGGCAGTGGGGGGCAATGGGAGTCAATGGGGGCAATGGGAGTCAGTGGGTGCCAATGGGTGTTAGTGGGAGTCAGTGGGGATCAATGGGTATTAATGGGTGTCAGTGGGTATCAATGGGTGTCAGTGGGTGTCAGTGTGGGCTATGGGTATCAATGGGAGTCAATGGGGGCTATGGGACTGAGTGGGGGCAGTGGGGGGCAATGGGAGTCAATGGGGGCAATGGGAGTCAGTGGGTGCCAATGGGTATTAATGGGTGTCAGTGGGTATCAATGGGTGTCAGTGGGTGCCAATGGGCATCGATGCCCATCAACGTGTACCTATCCCCTTCCATCCACCTCCACCATTGTACCAGCACCCTTGGGGCACCCCCTAGGTGCCCCCCAGCACCCATGGGTGCCCCATTGTGACCCCCCCACCCTTTCCCCCCCCCCCATAGCAAATGCACCTTCGACATGTTCAGCTTCCTGGCGTCCCAGCACCGCACCCTGCCCGAGGGGCCCCCTCCCCGCGAGGACGAGGAGGACGAGGTGCAGCTCAAACCCACACGGTGAGCACCCATGGGTGCCCCTGCACCCATAGTTGGGGGGGGGAGTGGGGTTGGGAGGACCCATGGGTGCCCCCTGCACCCAAAGTTTGGAGGGGGGGTTGGGGCTGGGAGGACCCATGGGTGCCCCCTGCACCCATAGTGGGGGTTGGGGCTGGGGGCACCCATGGGTGGGGGTTGGGGGGGGGAGCACCCATGGGAGGGGGTTGGGGGGGAGCACCCATGGGTGGGGGTTGGGGTTGGGGGCACCCATGGGTGGTGGTTGGGGTTGGGGGCACCCATGGGTGGTGGTTGGGGTCAGGGGTACCCATGGGTGGTTGTTGGGGTTGGGGGCACCCATGGGTGCTGGTTGGGGTCAGAGCACCTTTGGGTGCCCTGACCCCGCCCCCAGCCGTGCCACCAGCCTGGAGCTGCCCATGGCCATGCGCTTCCGGCACCTCAAGAGGACGGCGAAGGAGGCGGTCGGGGTCTATCGGTGAGGGCACGGGGGTGATGGGTGCCAGTGGGGTCAATGGGTGTCAATGGGTGTCATTGGGGTCAATGGGTGTCAGTGGGTTGCAATGGGGTTAGTGGGTAGCAGTGGGGTCAATGGGTGTCAATGGGATCAATGGGTGTTAGTGGGTGTCAATGGGGTCAATGGGTGGCATTGGGGGTCAATGGGTGGCAATGGGGTCAATGGGTGCCAATGGGAGTCTATGCCATCAGTGAGTGCAGTGGTCAATGGGGTCAATGGGTGTGAATGGGTGCCAGTGGGGTCAGTGGGGGTGAATGGGGTCAATGGGGGTCAATGGGTAACAATAGGTGCCAATGGGTATCAATGGGTGCCAATGGGTGTCAATGGGGTCAATGGTTGCCAGTGGAGGTAATGGGTGCCAATGGGGTCAATGGGTACCAATGGGTCCCAGTGGGTGTCAATGGGTGCCAATGTGTACCAATGGGTTCCAAGGGGTGCCAATGGGTCCCAATGGGTGCCAATGCGTACCAATGGGTGCCATTGGGGTCAGTGGGTACCAATGGGTGCCAGTGCGTCCCAATGGGTGCCAATGGGGTCAATAGGTGCCAAAGCGTATCAATGGGTGCCAGTGGGTGCCAATGGGGTCAGGGGGTGCAATGGGTGCCAATGGGGTCAATGGGTCCAGTGGGTCCCAATGGGTGTCGGTGGGTCCCAGTGGGTGCCAGTGCGTACCAATGGGTGCCAATGGGTGCCGTGCCCTCCAGCTCGGCCATCCACGGCCGGGGCCTGTTCTGCAAGCGGAACATCGAGGCCGGGGAGATGGTGATCGAGTACTCGGGCATCGTCGTGCGCTCCGTGCTCACCGACAAGAGGGAGAAGTTCTACGACAGCAAGGTGGGGCCTGCCCCACAGCGACCCATAGAGGGACCCATGGAGAGCCCCGTAGAGGGACCCATAGAGAGCCCCACAGAGAGCCCCATGGAGGGACCCATAGAGAGCCCCACAGAGAGCTCCATGGAGGGACCTATAGAGAGCCCCATAGCACCCCATAGCAGGACCCACAGAGAGCCCTATAGAGGGACCCATAACAGTGCCTTGGGGATACTAAAGGGGCGCCATAGGGACACCATAGAGATGCCATTTGGGACACATTGAGGATACCATGAGAATGATGTCTCCAGCCCCATAAGTTACTCCCAAGCCCATAACCAGCCCCATAACTCCATCCCAGCCCCATAGCACCCTCCACAGCCCTATAACTCCCGAGCCCCCTAGGATCTCCCCAGCCCCATAGCTCCCTCCCCAGCCCCATAACTCCCTCCCCAGCCTCACAACCTCCCCAGCCCCGTAACTCCCTGCCCAGCCCCAGAACCTCCCAAGCCCCGTAACTCCCCCCCAGCCTCCCCCCAGCCCCACTCCCTCCCCATCCCCATAACTCCTTCCATAGCCCCTTAACTCCCTCCGCAGCCTCACAACTTCCCCAGCCCCATAGCTCCCTCCCCAGCCCCATAACTCCCTCCCCAGCCCCATACACCCCCCCCAGCCCCATATGTTACCCCTACCCCCATAGCTCTCCCCCATCCCCATCACCCCCAGCCCCATAGGTCCCCCCCAGCTCCATAGCTCCCTTTTCAGCCCCACAACCTCCCAGGCCCCATAACTCCAACCCAGCCCCATAACTCTCCCCCTAGCCCCATAACTCCCTCCCCAGCCCCGTAGCTCCCTCCCTAGCCCCGTAACTCCTTCCCCAGCCTCACAACCTCCACCATCCCCATAGCTCCCTCCCCATCCCTACAACTCCCTCCCCATCCCCACAACCTCCCCATCCCCATAGCTCCCTCCCCATCCCTGTAACTCCCTCCCCATCCCCACAACCTCCCCAGCCCCATAGCTCCCTCCCCATCCCTACAACTCCCTCCCCATCCCCACAACCTCCCCAGCCCCATAGCTCCCTCCCCATCCCTACAACTCCCTCCCCATCCCCACAACCTCCCCAACCCCGTAACTCCCCCCCAGCCCCATAAGTTACCCCCATCCCCACACCCTCCCCATCCCCATAACTCCCCTCCATCCCCATAAGTTACCCCCATCCCCACAGCTCTCCCCCATCACCCCCATCCCCATAGCTTCCCCCCCAGCCCCATATCTCCCCCTAACCCCCTCCCCGTGACAGGGCATCGGGTGCTACATGTTCCGCATGGACGCGGCGGAGGTGGTGGACGCCACGATGCACGGCAGCGCGGCGCGGTTCATCAACCACTCCTGCGAGCCCAACTGCTACTCGCGGGTGATCCAGGTGGAGGGCGCCAAGCACATCGTCATCTTCGCGCTGCGCCGCATCCTGCGCGGCGAGGAGCTCACCTACGACTACAAGTTCCCCATCGAGGAGCCCGCCGCCAAGCTGCCCTGCAACTGCGGCGCCCGCCGATGCCGGCGCTTCCTCAACTGAGGGGCAGTGGGGCTGGGTGGGGGGGTGGGGGTGGTGGGGGCAATGGGGAGAGACGGAGATGGGATCTGGATGTAGTTATGGGGTACTAAAGATGTCTATAGGCAACGGTGATGATCTGGAGTCAATGGGAGGTAATGGGGTGGAGATACGGAGGTGGGCTCGATGGCCTTGAGATACCTGCACGTGATGGAGATGGGATCCTTGAGGTACCTGACAAGTGATGGAGATGGGATACCTGCAAGTGAGGTAGTTTATGGGGTCTTGGAGGTGTCTATAGGGGATGGGAAGTGGTTGGGGGTCAATGGGACCTCATAAAGAGGAGATACGGAGGTGGGCTCAATGGCCTTGAGATACCTGCAAGTGATGGAGATGGGATCTAAAGGTAGTTATGGGGTCTTAAAGATGTCTATAGGCAACGGTGATGATCTGGAGTCAATGGGAGGTAATGGGGAGGAGATACGGAGGTGGGCTCGATGGCCTTGAGATACCTGCAAGTGATGGAGATGGGATCTGGATGTAGTTGTGGGGTCTTGGAGGTGTCTATAGTGGATGGGAAGTGGCTGGGGGTCAATGGGAGGTCATGGGGAGGAGATACGGAGGTGGGCTCGATGGCCTTGAGATACCTGCAAGTGATGGAGATGGGATCTGGATGTAGTTGTGGGGTCTTAAAGATGTCTATAGGCAACGGTGATGATCTGGAGTCAATGGGAGGTAATGGGGAGGAGATACGGAGGTGGGCTCGATGGCCTTGAGATACCTGCAAGTGATGGAGATGGGATCTAAAGGTAGTTATGGGGTCTTGGAGGTGTCTATATGGGATGGGAAGTGGTTGGGGGTCAATGGGACCTCATAAAGAGGAGATACGGAGGTGGGCTCGATGGCCTTGAGGTACCTACAAGTGATGGAGATGGGATCTGGATGTAGTTGTGGGGTCTTAAAGATGTCTATAGGCAACGGTGATGATCTGGAGTCAATGGGAGGTAATGGGGAGGAGATATGGAGGTGGACTCGATGGTGTTGAGGTACCTACAAGTGATGGAGATGGGATCTAAAGGTAGTTATGGGGTCTTGGAGGTGTCTATAGGGGATGGGAAGTGGTTGGGGGGTCAATGGGACCTCATAAAGAGGAGGTATGGAGGTGGCCCCATAGCCATTGAGATACTTACAGTCAATGGGAGGTGATGGAGATGGGATCTGGAGGTGGTTGTGGGGTCCTGGAGGTACCTATAGGGGATGGGGGGTGATGGAGGTCAATGGGGGGGGATGGAGGTCAATGGGGGGGGTGATGGAGAGCAATGGGAGGTCAGGGGGAGGAGCTATGGAGGTGGCTCCAAAGCCCTTGAGATGCCTGCAGCCAATGGGGAGCCGCTATGGGGCACAGCCAATGGGGAACCAGGAACACTTAATGGACACCAACCCCTAGCCAATGGGGAGCCGCTATGGGGCACAGCCAACGGGGAGCCAGGAATGCTCAATGGACAACACCCCCCCCCAGCCAATGGGGAGCCATTATGGGGCCCAACTGAACCCCAGCCAATGGGCAGCCAGGAACAATCAATAAACACAAACCCCCAGCCAATGGGGAGCCAGGAGCTCTCAATGGACACCAACCCCCAGCCAATGGGGAGCAGAGATTCGGGGCCAATGGCAGCCCTGGGGATGCCTCCAGCCAATGGGGAAGCGGCAGGAGGCGGGACCCCTCATTGGGTGCAGTGAGGAGCACCCATGGGTGCTGTGGGGCACCCGCACCCCACGTGGGGGCCGGGGACCCCTTTGGGGCCGTTTTGGGGGTGGGGTTTGTACCCGCAGGCCCCGCCCCTTTCCTTAGATGGATCCGCCCCTTTCTCCCCTGGCCACACCCCCCTCTGCGCTCCCCCCGCCCCTCTCCTCCGCTCTCTGTTCCTATTGGCTGTCCCGTCTCTATGGTAACCCCTCCCCTCCGCGTTGGCCCCGCCTCTTCCCCAGAGTCCCATCCCCATTGGCCAAGCCCCCGTCTCTATGGCAACAACACCCCCCGGCTCCGCCCCTTCATTCCCCCCCTCCCCCGCGCTGTCCAATCCCGTCCCTGCTTTCCCCTTTGGCCCCGCCCTCACCGCGCTCCCATTGGCTGAGCGGCCGCTGCGCCCGCGCCGGAAAGGGCGGGGCCGGAAGCGGAAGCGCTGCTCGGGGCCTGTGGCGGTGGTGTGGAGGTAACGGAGCGGGGCCTGGGGCTTGTGGGTCTTAATGGGTGGCTATGGGGCAGTTATGGGTCCCAATGGGTGGCTATGGGGCAGTTATGGGTCCCAGTGGGGGGTTATGGGGCAGTTATGGGTCCCAAGGGGGGGCTGTGGGGCAGTTGTGGGTCCCAGTGGGGGGCTATGGAGCAGTTATGGGTCTTAATGGGGGGCTGTGGGGCAGTTATGGGTCCCAATGGGGGACTATGGAGCAGTTATAGGTCCTAAGGGGGGGCTGTGGGGCAGTTATGGGTCCCAGGGGGTGATTATGGGGCAGTTATGGGTCCCAAGGGGGTCTGTGGGGTAGTTGTGGGTCCCAAGGGGCAGTTATGGGTCCCAGGGGGTGGTTATGGGGCAGTTATGGGTCCCAAGGGGGGGTTATGGGGCAGTTATCTGACCTATGGGGCAGTTATGGGACCTATGGGGCAGTTATGGGTCCCAGGGCGTGGTTATTGGGCAGTTATGGGTCCCAGGGGGTGGTTATGGGGCAGTTATGGGTCCCAAGGGGGGGTTATGGGGCAGTTATGGGTCCCAAGGGGGGCTATGGGGCAGTTATGGGTCCCAATGGGGGGTTATGGGGCAGTTATGGGTCCTGTGGGGCAGTGGGGTCAGTATAGCAGGGTCCCAGGGGGTGATTATGGGGCAGTTATGGGTCCCAAGGGGGTCTGTGGGGTAGTTGTGGGTCCCAAGGGGCAGTTATGGGTCCAAGGGGGTGCTTATGGGGCAGTTATGGGTCCTATGGGGCAGTTATGGGTCCCAAGATCTGACCTATGGGGCGCAGATGGGGCAGTTATGGGACCTATGGGGCAGTTATGGGTCCCAGGGCGTGGTTATTGGGCAGTTATGGGTCCCAGGGGGTGGTTATGGGGCCGGGGGGGGGGGTCACTTGTGGGGCAGAGCTGAGTTGTGGGGCGCAGATGAACCTGGAGCGCGTCTCCAATGAGGACAAGCTGGAGCTGTGCCGCAAGTACTACCTGGGTGAGCCCCATGGCACCTATAGAGCCCCCATAGACCCCTATAGCCCCCCATAGGCCCCCTTTTCCTCCCTATAGACCCACTTTGCCCCCCCCATAAACCCCTATAGACCCCCATAGACCCCCTCTCCCCCCACATAACCCCCTATAGATCCCCTTAGACCCTCTATAGACCCCCTTTTTCCTCCCCATAAACCTCCTTCCCCCCATAATGCCCCATAGACCCCCCATAGGCCCCCTTTTCTTCCCCATAGACCCACTTCCCCCCCATAGACCCCCATAGGCCCCCTTTTCCTCCCCATAGACCCACTTCC